TGCATGTCAGCTGACAATTCTGAGCACATCGGTGCCGTTGCTGCCAGGTGTTCACATCAATGGCCATTTCAGGAACCTAGATTGGAGGTACCATATATAAGGCCTATGTACTGTAAGGGCTATGTAAGGGAATATCCCCACAAAATATGGCCCTATATGGTACAGTACCAGTACCTCCATTTTAGGATCCTGGAATTGGATCTGTGAGTTGGCCTGTGCAGATTATCTTGCAACGCTGGCTGAGAAATGTGGTGAAGATTCGGAATCTTCACCACAATTCTCAGCATTGCAATCAGAGCCACGAGAGGCGAAGAAAAAAGGTCGAATGCACACGTGGCAAATCCACTTTATGATGATTAGAGTTTTTTTTTTAAGTTACTATTTTACTACATAAAGAGATTTTCAGGAAGATCATCCTAACAACCCTGTTTACTTCAGAGACATCTGAACCATTCCAACATTTCAGTTTTGCACCCATGACTTACAAGGAGACCTTTGAGGTCAGCAAATCCAGCAAGAAGGACAAAGCTTTGAGCAAGTTGCTCTTTATGGGCAAATTCAACCTGACAGAGGAGCAATTCGAACAAGGTCTACGTGATGAAGAATTCTTCCTGGTGAAGGATGAGCAAGGACGTGACAAATACAGCTGGGAGGCCTTGGAGCACAGCCATGAAACTGGCAGCAGCTCCAAGTTGAGCTTGCAAAGTTCCAAGTCTCTCAATGCTTCTCAGGCCAAGTTGGAGAAGGCAGCCTTCAGTCAGGAGATGACACCGAAGGGTTTGTTTGGGTCAGGGCTTGGTGCTTTGCCTGCTGCTCGTGGTGCCATGCCCATTGAAGACCGGGCAAATGCCACCCTCACCAAGAAGCAGTGGCAGCAAGCCCAAGGGCAATTACTTGAGGCAACTCGGGCCTTTGACAAAATGGCCAAGGGGGTGAAGAAACACTTGGGCATCCTTGGCCATGAGGAAAAAGATGATCCTATCTACATCAGCCTGCATCTTGGTTTACTTCAGATGTTCAAAAATGTCAGATGTTGAAAAGTCCCTTACATTAGAAGAACCAAATCTTTTGAAATATTTGTTTTGTACATTACTTTAAGTGATTACATGAGTATCCACAATGCTTAAACTTTTCAAGTAACTAGCTCAAGTACCTCAAGCAACTTGTCCTGTGGTCAGCCTCACACATGACATGTAAGCTCAGTATGATTTTCATGTCTGCATCCTATCAGGAAGTCTTTGTCCAACCAGATCTCCATCCATCACCGCAATCTCGAACATGTCTTCCAATGGCAGGAAACAGTTGCAGGTGATAATTTGACAGTGGAGAACTATGATGATTTGATCACAAAGGCTGGCACTGCAGCTTCTCGTCTTCAAGGAGCATCTTGCAGGGGTGCGTGGTCAGCTGCAGGCCAGGGCAGCCAGGGCCAAGAAGGAAGGTCTCGAGGCCAAGTGAAATACAGAGCACTGGAGTGTGCCATAGGTAGCATGGACTCATTTGCTCTGAAGCGGTTGCTACAAGGAAGCTTCTTTGAGCATGTGTGTTTTTTGAACCGTTACCTGAGTTTTGCCATGAAACCTGGGAGCCTTCTGTGAGGCTTGCAATCCATCCAGCGCAATTGGGAAAATGCTGCAGCTTTCTGATGTTTAATTCATTTCAACTCTTATGTGAAATTTTCACTGTTTGAAACAATTGATTTCATGTTTTCATATGTTTTCATTACCATCCTCAAATGAAACCATGCTTACTTGAGCTTTCAGACAGTTGCATGTCATTCCAGGATCAATTTACTTGTGAGCTTTGTGAGAGTCATACCATGTTTACTTGAGCTCTTGGAGCATTTGTATTTCAATTTCAGCTTACTTGTGAATCTTGGTGTCATGCCCCCAGCCCTGCTGATGCACATGTACATGTATATGCATGTTTTGTGATGTTTACTTACTTGTGCAAACAGTAGTATGTATATGTCTTTAGCATGCTGATAAATCGACATTACTTGAGACCAACTACATAAACTCCACTTATGGGAATCCAAATGTAATCAAGCTATCTGAGAATACATTGGCTCAACAAAAAGCAGAAATTCGATTTGTTTTGAACTTATAGGTGCCCAATGAATGCACCTGGTGACTATGAAAGGCCTACCAGAGGCAAGAAAAGAAAAGGTGGTTTGCACCAAAGAATGGCCAGAGTTGCAGAGGAACTGGGCACACCTTCAGCCCTTTACATGCTGCTCATGACCATGCTGGCCCAGGGCATGTTGTCAGGTGTCCATGCCACCAAATAGCAGTGATCTGCATCTGGTCACACCTTCAGTGGTTTGGCAAGGTTGGCTCAGCTTCAGCGAGGCCAAAATTTGGTGAGGAGTGTTTACACATTGCTGTCTAAGACAACAGCTTTACCTCCACCACTGCAAGCTCCCTTGCCTTACAAAGACGGTGTGCATCCAGCCTTCATACTCTTACCTCATGAGCTTTTTGCTTACATGTGGGACCATCAAGATGTATGGAAAAGGAAGATGCTTTCTGACCCAAACAAGCTACGTGAATTTTGGAACTCAATGGATGGCCATCCAGCAATGTTCAATCACCCCTTGAAGGACTACGATGACTTTGAAGATTGGTGCCTACCAATAAGCATGCATGGTGATGAGGTGCCAGTTTTTGGTGTTGGCAAAATTTGGAGCCGCTGCTTTCATTTTCTTGGTGCTCCATGGTACAAAATGCTCTGGGGGGTGCGTGCTCTGAAATCCTGCTCTATATTTTTGGTTTATTTGAAAAGTTCACCATCGATTCCGACACCAATGCTCCTGGAACCATGGAATGCTTTTTCAAAATCTTGGCTTGGTCTTTCAGGGCCATGTGGGAAGGGCAGTGGCCAAGTCATGATTGGCGAGGGGTTGCTTTCCTGCCTGGGACAAAGGAATGGATCTTTGGACCTACTTGAGCAACTTTTTTGGATTGTTTTGTTTGCAATAAATATATATATATATATATATGTTCTAACATTACCTATCCAAACCAAGTCCAAGGCATAAAAAAGGACTACCTCTTGCAGGTGGTTACTTTTGTGCACTCATGGCTTGCATTGGCGACCTAGATTATTTTCAAATATGGCTAGGCACACCTGCGTCCACAAGCCACAGAATGCCCTGCATTCAGTGTCGCTGCACGTTCAGAGGTCCAACCAGTTGGCTTGACAACAGACCAAACAGTCAGTGGCAAAATACATTGCTGCAGGCAGACAGCTGGCGCCAACACTGGAACAGCCCTTGCTTACTTTTGAAACTCCCTGGTGTGAGCTGCTGGACCATTAGCTATGATTTGATGCACAATTTCTGGCTTGGCTGGCTGCAGTTCGCTTATGGTTCCATCTTCTACTTGCTATGCTTTGAAATATTGGAAGAAGACCCACTCACCAATCTCAAAACAGTTGGAGCTTTTATCCGTGAATTCCAGAGGAAGGACGAAGGTCATCAGAGGTATAGGCAAAGATTGGAAAAACTCAGCATGTTCGTGAAACAGTCAGGGTACCCCAAGTTAAAGGGGAGGTCCTCTGATATCAAGGGCCTTTGTGCTGCGTTGAAAGCCTGTTGGATGGCAAACATGCGTGCTGGTGTGCTGCAAGACCAGCAAATAGCGGCTTTTTTGGAACTCAATCTGGACATCCATGGCTTGCTAGAAGACTACAGCCCAAAGTATGGATTCATGTCGCTGCCTGCTCCACAATGTGATGAATTGTACACCAAAGGTCTCGCAATGGCCCAGCTCCATGTTTGTTTACTTCAGCACTATGCGCAACAAGAGGTGCTAATTTGGAATCTCACATCCAAAACACACTACTGCCTTCATTCTTTTTACTTGGCACGTTGGCTGCATCCAAGCTTGACTCGGGCTTTCAAGGGTGAATCGACCATGAAGGCTGTGCAGACTCTTTGGAAGAGTTGCTTAGCAGTTAACAAGCACTGGGCAGTGTGTACAATTGCTGCCTTTAAGATGAGGCACTTGATGCATTTGAAAGACGAAAAGGCGTGACCAAAAAATGCTTGCATTTCTTTTGAACATTACTTGAAAATTACTTGTGACACATGCATTCATCTCAATCATGCTATCAACAGCAATACTTGACATCAAACCATTTCTTCTTTTCAATTAATACCCACAGACAAATCTTATATGATTTTTTGAAAACCAAACAATATTTTTCAAAAAATGGCCATGTGCTTACGTGAGAACATCATCCAGATATACTAAAACAACGGAATTTTCATCGAAAAAAATGCTATAAAATTTAGGTTACGACCTAAATTAATTTAGGCCGTAAAAAAATAGGTCAATTTTTGCACCTAATTTTTTTGGATTACGTAAATCGAGGCCCTAAGTAAATCTACTAATTCCGGAGACCCAGGGTAACTGGCGGACTTCGGGCCGTGATTGATCCACATGATTTCGGAATGACGACCAAACAAGATGTGAGCGGCTCATGCGTATTTCATTATTGAATCGATAGATTTTCAAATGGCCATACAATAAAGATTGTATTCTCGCTAGGAACGAATACATGTTCCCAATCTTTTGCCATTGTCGCCGTTTCTTGCTACTTAGAGGGTCAAACATGTTAAACAGTTCTCAAATGGACGCAGGTCTGGACGTGGGCAGAGAATTGCCCATGTACCAGTATTGCGCAGAACTGAAGAGAAAAGTCACAGAGAATCGTCGCTTGGTGGTGGAGCAATGCTGACCGATTGAAGTTGTGGTTGGTATTTGCTGTTTGATTGTCATCACGATGATGATCGTATTGAATCATACGAGTCCACTATCATTGGAAAAAGTGGTTTCATTATGTTATATTGCGCACATGTTGATGATGGCGATGATGATCATCATCATTCATCTTCATTTCTTCTCCATCTATGTGAGTAACCCACAATATTAGCGGAAAACTAAAGTAGTGGGGAGTGGACATGGGATGTTCAAATTCGCGCGAAAGCATTCACA